TGGTCCTGGGTAAGTTGTTACTCCTGTGAATCTGGTTTGTTCAGCCCTTTGTGTTTGCACCACTGCTATCTCAGGGGTAAGAATTGATGTCAGGAGGATTCCTGGAAGAAGTAACAACAAAGGTGAGCACTGAAGGGCGAGTAGGAGTGAACCAGGCAACAAAGTGGTGGGAAATTCCAGATGAGAGAGAGAACACGAGCCAGGCACTATTATAAGCAGTTTATAACCTAATTACCAATTCAGAATTCCTGATCTAAAAGGATATACTTCAGGAGCAGCACAGACATAGTAATGGCCTCTTTTGGCCATGCCCTGCATCCCTGTCACTCGACATTGCAATTATTGCATCAAACAAGAAATTACAGAATTGGCTTTGGGTGATTAACCAATGCACACTCTATCTCTCCATAAATAAGTAAATCTCCACAGAATGTAATGTTTGTATTTGATATGATTTTAAAGGATGCAATTCCAGAATTAAATAATTCTGTATATTAATGAGTTTTTTTTAATGAGCTGAAAAAATAATTCCACTTCATCTGTAATAGGTTTTCACTCACAACTTAGTATAAATCAGCTCAATCAAACTGCTAAACTCCTAAGACCTGGCTGATGTTATTGACTAAATGAAAGCATGTCTAAGAAAGAAAGGAAAGATTTCATTTTGGATTTTGAAGGGTAGAGAAGTCTTAGGTTAAAAAATAAAATCAGGAGCCTAGAGTTATATGAAAAAACTATATTCTGGCACTAATGAAGCAGGAGTGACCACAGAAGATGAAAGAATAGAAAAAAACAAATTTGGCTACTTCAAATGGTGACCCAGGCAGATCCTATATCCAGAACAGGATATGCGTTCAGTATTGAGAGCTCAGGCCACCATAGCAGAGTCCAGCTGGCAGCTTCTCCTTCTGCCCCTTCCCTGAGTGCATGCCAGGTTCCCTTACCTAGCCCTGCATGGCCCCATGAAGAGAGTGATTCTTAGGCCTGTTCATGCACCTGGGTTAAGGAAACAACACAAAATTATGGGAACTAGGAAGGAGATATTTTTAATTAGGCAGAAATATGTACATAATAGTAATCAAAATAAAAGTGAATGGGTTAGTTTTTCTATTAAAACACTGGTCTCTCATATACTGAGTCCAAGAAGCATGTATTTGTTTGCTCAGGTTGCCATAACAAAACACCACAGTCTGGGCGGCTTAAACAACAGAAATTTATTTCTCACTATTCTGGAGGCTGAGAAGCCCAAGATGAAGATGCTGGCAAGTAGGTTTCATTGGAGGCCTCTTCTTTCGGCTGATAGGTGGTCACTATATCGCTATGTTCTCACAAGGTGGAGAGAGAGCGCAAGCTACGGGGTCTCTCCCTCTCTTAGGAAGATACCAATCCCATGGTCCCATCCTCATGACTTCATCTATACCTAACCACCTCCAAAAGGTCCCACCTCCTAATATTGCCATATTGGGGTTAGGACTTCAAGATACGAGTTTAGGGGGAACACAAACATCCAGTCCATAAAAAGGCATGTCTGAAACAGATGTGAGAGTTGAATGGATGGGAAACGATACCCTAGAGAACTGTTAAACTGAAAGTAAGATAATAACATCAGTATCGGGCAAAACTGAACTTAAAGCGAACATTCTGATAAACAGAATCCTCCCACAAGTCAGGCGATGAATCTTCCTAACAGCGTGAGGCAGCTGCAAAATATAGACACACAAAGAGAGATCACGAAATCCATAGTCATAGTGGGAGAATTCAGGACATTCCTCAGAAAGCAACTGACCAAGTGGATAAAAAGAGACCGTTTGGATCCACATGCTGCTGCTACAACTTGATATCAGGGTTAGGTACTTACGTTGTGTTTGAGAGCTCCTGTTCCTCTGTTTGCTGATCACAGCTGACCCCCTGGGGCTGCTGGGGAGCGGAGGATAGGCTTCCGCAAGGCAGGTGCTGGTAACTTGTTCCTAAGTTTCTAAGTTCAGGAGACGCCTGGCCTTCCTTGCGATCATCAGTTCTCTACTGGGCAGCTCTGCATCTCCGGCCTGAGCGCTGACACTCTCCTCTTCAGCCTGTAGAAATGCCACAGTTGCTTAGGACAAACAGGGATGTGAGAATGGAGGCGAGCAAGGGGTTGACCAGATGGACCACAGTAAAGGTGTAGCCCAGGCCACCTCCCACCTATGTCTTAACACTGTGGTCCTCAAACTGAAGGACTGTTCGGTTCCTATCTACATAACAGTCTGCTCCCTCACGTGTTTCGACCTGAGGTTTTCTCCATGCTTATTTGTCTGCTCAAAACTTCTGACCCAATGACAGCACCTTTTTTTCTTTGCTGTTGCCGATTTTTTCTGTTTTCCTTTGCTTTTATTTTTCTGTTATTTCACATAGCTGTTGGTGTGAAGAAGACAGACGTATGTTTGGCTCTCCACCTTGATCCCCTCTCCTCCCACGATTCTCTCTTCACTCTTTATTTTGGCAGATCCTACCCCTCACGTTGTAACAGTTTTGTCATCCGGCCTCAGACAGTTGCCCTTGCAGTCAGAGGACCCTGGGTCAATCCTGTCTCACCATGGATGCTAACTCCCCTGAACTGTCACCCAAGTCCTGGGCTTTACATGTGAATTTTCCCTTGGCACAGCACGTGGTCCTGGCTTCTACCTTCACTGAAGACCTGTCCTCTGGAGGTCAGGCAGCACTAGCAGAGCTCAAGGAATGTCTCTGGAGGTCAGCTTGCTGTGCCTCCTGAAGGCACAGGGCACGGGGAGTTGGTTGGGGAGTGGGAGGTGGGGGCTGTTCCTTCCTTACTCTGAAGGAGCAACTGATCTCACAGGGAAAATTCAGGGGCAGTCCAGCAGAAGTTAATGGCGACCAAGCTTGGTCTTTCACATAGGAGGAGTAGCCTGTGTGCCCAGGGGTGAGATTTTTTAAAATTTAGCAATGATGCCAGGGGGGATCATAAATCATTTACCATTAAGGGCAGCAACCTTTCAGAACAGTTTGTCTTCCCAAGGATAGACTCCAGGTCCTGGAGTCTGTGGCACCTTTCCAACAGCCCACAGGCTTCTCACCTGCCCCCATCCCAGCGCACATACACCCCATACACCCCTTGCTGCTGTTCGCTTTGGCCCCTGATCTCATCTAAATTTAGCCCAAATCTCTACTTCCTGGTGCCAATGCACATTGTGAAAGCTACCTGTGAGAAATATATCTAACGTAATACTTTTCATGTCAGGATAGAGAGCCAAGCTTCTTATATATGAACATGAACTTCCTAGGTGCTGGGAAAATATATTGGAAAGGAGTTCTTTTTTTTTTTGAAAAGGAGTTCTTATGCTTGTATAATCACAGCTTATTTCTGGAAAGAGAGGGTGTCTAGAGTATGGGGTAAAAATTTATTTCCCCTGGATATACCTTTTTTTCTTTCGAAAGGGTTCCCTGTATCTATTCAAAAAATGGTTTTAGAAGGTGTTATTCCCTCCATTAAGGAATCTTAATTCACTTACCCATCACATTCTTATTAATTTTACTTTAACCAATAGTATTTTTCTGAATATTCAGAAGTGAACACAAAACTATCTGCTATTATATGAAATAAAGTACCAGCTATTCTACCTTTTCATCCCCACGCACCCCCGTGAGATGACATCTTTCCAAACATTCATTATGCAACTCCCCCCCTGCCTCACACCCAGAAGGGTCGCGTGCTAGAGGAGGCAGAAGGCCTTTGTGCCCCTCCTCTGGCTCCTCTGAACACGTAGCCTAGGTGTTTCAGGCCAAAGTTTCCCTTGCAGCAAGTCACTTCTATTTAAAGAATCTTTCTTTAAAACATTTATTACATATTCCCAGAAAGTCTAGCACTGTCCATGTAGATGGTGTTTGGCTAGAATTCTTACTCCAGTATTTCCTACATCTGAGTATGTTACTGAAATAGTTTCTGAAGGTTTCCCAATCCATAAATACCTTCCTTTGATCCTCAGAGGAGTGACACCCTGGGACCCCAATTTTAAGCTGGCCAAATCTTATTTTCTCCATGTTGTACCTGAGGAAACTGAGGCTCAAAGCAAGAAGGTAACCTGTTCGAGGTCATGAAGCTAGTAAGAAGTGAAGCACTAGCAATAACGGTTTCTGATTGGGATTAACAACCAAAAGCTTAGGGTAAAATAGGGTTGAACCCAACTTCAAGTTTATAAAATGATGTAGGACTGCAAGGAGCTGGCACAGCATGCAGATGCTCATCAGGAGTGCTGCGGTGACCTGGCGCTGCTTCCGGGCCCAGACGCAAGGGGTACTGGGCTGCTGGAGGAAAGGCCCAGAGAAGTGCCCGTCTGCCCATTCAGCTTGACACTTCGAAGGTTATACCTGGTCAGCTCTTCCAGGATGGACACCTGGTTCCCATCCTCAGGGCAGTTGGGCCCATTAATTATAAATCATATATTTAATAATCTCTATACCATGTGTAAGTTTCTTAGGATGTTCTCCCTACATTACAGAAACTGGCAATCTTGCAAGATTTATTTATCATTAAATCAGAACACAGTTTGGGTAAGAAATTCAGTCCTGAGGCATCTCCCAGGTGTTCTTGACTCCCGTATAGGAAGCTGATCAGATAGTGTGGGGACAGGCTGTTTAACCACCCTGCTCACTCCCAGCCCCTCCCTCTAGCTCAGTTACCTGCAGTCTCTAGGACTTTTAGGGGCCGTAGTACCTTTTTAGCCCCTACTCCCACAGGTAGTACACAGGCACTTCCAGTAAGACTCAGTTATAATTCAGAGAAAGTCTCTGTGGGAAGAGGTGATTCACCAGACCTGCTAGCATTGAAATTCTGCAAAGGAAGCCTTGGCACAGCAAAGGACCTTGGCCTTTGGAGTCTGACATGTGTTAAAATCATCCAAAGACTGCCCTTGGGCAATTTATTTACCTTGTTTCCTAATCGGTGAACAAGAAAATAATTAAATAGAAAGATGATGAATGACATAGTCCCATGGAAAATGCCAAAGCACAAGACCCACCACTGAGAGGGCACTTCCCACTAGTTCTCTCATTCCCTCTTTACCCCCCACCCCCACGCAACCCACCTGGTCAGCGCTGGAAATACTTGGCTGCTAGGACAATGACAGGTGCCATGCTTGCCCTGCCCGACGCTGGCTTTGCCTCCACAATGCCTTTTACAGAAATTCCAAGGACCCAGAGGGATGGAGACAAGTTTTCCCAGAGACAGGTAAGGTGGGCCTTGGTCAGTGAGAGGAGGGTAAGTTGGAAAATACGGGTTGAGTCATCATGAGCGGTGGCAACCTTGGACTACCAGGTGTACCTTTAGGGAGCACATGAGGCGGCATAGAGCACGCTCACACATGCAGTTCCGGGCCATATGTGCAGTCCCCTAAAGGGGTGGGAAGCTGTTGGACGCCAGAGGACCAGAGTGGGCCAACCAACACAGTACTGCCCTTGGCAGTGATGAGTGCCCGTCCTTACCAGCTCGCTTTTCCCCGCCTCTTTGCTCCATCAGGCTCGTCCTCTGGCGCCATCTGCAGGCCGCATGCGGAACTCCATCCGCCGTGAAGCAGCCTTTGCCCGCAGCTTCAGGCCTGGAATACTCGGGGTGGATCTTAGGGCTCTGTCTGTGTGCAGGCGTCCTGGAAGGCGGCTGCTTCCCGCGCTGATCTCATCCCCAGGATCTGAGTAAGGGAGCTACGGACTCTGAGGGGCGGTCGCAGAGGGAACAGGTGAGGGTGGTGGGGGACGAAACTGGAGGGGGATGGGGCTGAGAAGTGCTGGGGTGGTTTGGGGTCGTGGAGGTTGATTGCAGTAATAATAGAGGAGAAGCTATGCCTACGGCTAAGATCACGGTGCCTGACTGGGTTGTAATCCTGGCTCTGCTCATTGCTGTGCGTCTTGAGACCTTTTGGTTGACTGTCTCTGTGGCCACAAATCTATTGCCTCCTACACGGGTCATTAGGAGGATAAAATCAGTTCATATTTTTTAAGTGCTTGGAGTAGGTTTTGCTCAGTGAAATTAACAATTGGCTTTAAAGGTGGTCACCATCAGGATTGGCCTCAGGTCTTCCAGCCTTACGGAATCAGGATCCCCACAGATGGAGCTCAGGAATGTGTTCAGACAAGCTTACCAGAGGATTCTGACGCAGCATTATTAACTTTGTAAAGCCCTGGTTTGAGTTTCTCAGGCAGGTCTGTTGATGCCTCTGCTTGTTAAAAGGTGTGGATTACTGGGCCTCATCCCAGACCTATTGAATTTAAATATGCTAGGGTTGATTCGCAGAATTTGAGGTTTTTAAAAGCTACAATAAACCTGAACACGAAGGGGCTGGGAATCGCAAAGGGCAGACCTCTTTAATTTACAAACAGGCAATCAAGATCCCCAAGAGAGCAGAGAACTTGCTCAAGGTATCCGGCAGGGTCCTAAGAAGCTGTGAGGCTCTCAGGTTAAACTCCACACCCCCCAAAAAAACTACCTGAACTGCTGCCCCCGACTAGTCCTCTGACAAACTATCCTGTTTCCTAATCTGTGAGATGGGGGCAAAAGTCATACCTAATTCAAGGAGTAACAATCAAATGATACCACCACCTCACTGGGAATGACGGTTGAACTAAGTGTTCACCAATGCTAGGAACCTGAATCTGAGATGCCTGCAGGCCCCTGGAGCCCTATAGCAGATTTACCTCCAGGAAGTCCTTGATAAAATAAGGCTCCTTGGAAACATGGGTCACCAGGGGAGGGAATTTGGGCAGATGGTTTGCATCAGCTGAGTCCTGAGCCAAGATTGCTGGCTTCCAGGGATTTCTGAGTCCAGTTGTATGAGAGTGGAGGCGACACCATCCAGCTCATCTCTGCATATGGGCCACAGACCTGGTCCACCTGCAGCACAGCAGGTATTGAGAGAAAATTGCATCTTGCTGGCACCTCCTTGGAGCCTCTGGAGGCTAGGTAGGGAGGGCTTTCTCCTCTCATGAACGCACTGTCTTCCTTGAGTAGGATGAACCAGGGGTCTCTAGAGAAAGGTTTAGCTGCTAGGGCTTCAGGGCTGCCCCTAAGCCGATTGCTTGAAGCATCGAGGCCCCATCCCCATCCTCTCTCAAATGAGGGCAGCTACTAAGCCCATGTGAGGGGGGCCCACTGTGCAGTCATAGGAGGAGACTAATAGAGCATCCCTTCCACACTTTTGTGCATCTCAGTACAAGCTCTGGAATAGGATGGCCAGGACTTCATCCCTAACCCTTCCCCAGAAGCCAATTCTCAGCCCTTCATGCTGCTTTTTACCTTTGTACCTCTAATGACTAGCCCCCTCTGCTTCTCTAGAAAACTACTCCCTCACCCAGCAAGTCCCAATCAACCCTCTTTCTCTGTGATACACTCCCCAGGTGGAGGCAATGGTGCTTTCTTGTTCCCAGAACATGTTGTTTGCAACTCTAAATGCAGAAGTCAGCCCACTCTGTTAGGATTTGGGGATGGGAGAGACATCTTTCAGAGGTTCATGAAGGAGGCACTATCCACAAGCCCTGACCTTGGTCCCCCAACTCTGTCAGGCCTGGCTTTAGTGTGTGATGCATTCCTGTCTCTCCTGATCATGTGATGGTCTTCACCCCATCACGGGTTTGGCAGCAAAGTAACCCAACCACCTGCCACTTGGCCAGAAGTATTCTTGCTGCATTTGTAATAAAATGCAGGCTACTTACTACATACAGCCAATGAGGTGCTTAGTTTCAGGGGATTGTACAGTGTGTGGCCTTTTCAGGGCAAACATTCTGGCCCCAGGGATCTCAGACAATTTGAACAGCATTGGCTGAAAGTGAAGTTTCCTTGGTGGCTCAACAGACTCCTAGACTCCCTATTTTGTCACTGGTGCCCAGTTGAAGAGAGTTTGCATCAAAGCTCTCAGTACAGCCATGAAAGAAAGGGAATGCAAAGCTGGAGCCCTACTACAGGCCTATAGGTGCTGACCCAGCCAGCTCTGCGCAGTTCAATTTTTTTTTTTTGGCAGGGGTTTGAGGGGGAAGGGGGGACCAGTTTCACACAGAAATAGAAGACTGCCAACTAAAATGGCAGCAGGCTAATTATTTCAAGGATGTGGTTCTGTTGCTCTTCCAGTGAGCAGTAAATGAGGAGGGAGGAGGAGCATCAGCTATTAGCTGGGATCAAGGAGCTGTGAAACTCTGGAATCTGCTGGTTTTGATGCCATTACAAATGGACAGAATACACGTCACTGAAGAAAAAGATCTGGAAACAAAGCAGACTTGATCTTCTGCTATTTCCCTATGCATTTTTTGCCTTTTAATTTTCACTGTGCCTCAAATATACTTTTCAGTTAATGGCCAACATCATTACCATAATCAGTCCAAGGTTCTCTTGTCTTTCTCTCCTTTTCTTTTACTTTGGTCTGTGTTCTTCTCTACCATGTTCGGTCCCTTGCCCCTTTGTGACCTTCCCTGATATTCACCATCATGTATTGAATGAATCCTTCCACCTCACTCCTCATCTTTCAGTTGGAGTAGATTAGCATCTCTAAGTCACCATGCCAAAAGCAGAATCATTCACACACACACACACACACACACACACACACACGTGTGCCACCATTCATAGCATACATAGCAGCTCCTTCTTCAGATGCTCTCATACAGTTAATGGAGACTTTATTCTTCTAGTTTCTCAAATGAGAAGCCCAGGAATCATCACTGAACCCTCTTTTTCTCTCATTTCTGGAAACCCCATGCATAAACCAAGCTGGCGCGTTTGCCCCTCAAAATACATGCAGTATCCAACCACCTTTCACACCTCCCTCACCACCTCCTGTGGCCGTGCCTCCCACAGCTTTGCAAGGGTAGGCTAGTCGCCTGCCTTCTCCTTCTGCGTCTGCTCGTGTCCGCCTAGAGTGTTTGCCCACTTTTAAAAAGTTTTTTTTTTTAAAAATACAAGTCAGGTTATACTGTTCCCCTGCTTCAAACTCTGGTGAGAATAAAGTTCACATTTATAATAAAACCCAGACTCCCTATTATAGCCTAGAAGGTGCTTAGTGTCAGTGGCATCATACGCAAGTGCTCTCAAAGGCATGTTCCTTTCTGGGACAAATTCTCGGTCCCCAGAGATGTCAGACAATTTCTGTAGCGCCATTCTTTACTGCCTCTTGCTTTTCATACCTTTTCATCATCTACAGATTCTACAAAGAGAATCACAAGTCCTCTTGGGCAATCATCTGCTCTCCATCTATGTATATGTTGATACCAGTCACCTGTAGCACGTCAGGATGATTTAGGGAATAGCAGTGATGTGATAAAACTTCCATAGTTCTCTTCTGATTTTTTCATATTATTTTTACCATTATACTTCTCATGTTCACTCTCTCGAAAAGCCACAGAGCACCTGAAATTTACGCAGTGATTATAGCTTCTTTGTGTATGTTTTACTTGAAGTCAAATTAGGAAAAGCTTTCGCCATTCTTCCAATATCATCAATTTTTTACACGTTACAAAAGAGTTGTTACCATTATCGCGTTATCAGCTATATTCTCCCATTCTTTAACCAGCTTTTCAAGAATAGCACCCGAACCTGAAAGGCATCTGCTCTCTATGCAGGTTCTCAAACAGTAAGCTGTTTTCTCAAGTCCCTGGCAAAGCACTTCTGATTATCAGTTTGGTGATGCCTAACCACGGAGCCCTCCATCAGAACAGTGAATTCTGCACATGGTACCGGCGCATCCTAGGGACCAGGGGTGCCAGCCCGGGCCTCTTGACTCCTGGTTGGCCGAGTCTAACGTACATCAGCCTCTCGGTGAAGTTGGCTCGTTTGCGGGCGGCGCCAAGACCCACTGGGCCCCACCGCAGAGCTGGCTGCTGCCTGCTTTGGGCCCTTTCGTCCCTGGAAGCCCTGGAAGCCCTCGAAGGGCGCGGCACCCACTCCCGCGGGTTCTGGGCCGGGGCCTCTGCCCGCTCTAGGCGGGTCTGCCCGGAGGCCTTTTGCACCCCGCAGAGGCTGGGGGCCGCGAACCCACGCACGAGGCACCAGGCCCGCGGGCCGCCGCGGAGTCCAAGCTCCGGGAGGGCCCGAGGCCACCCGCTCCTCCCACTCCGGCCCCGCCTCGCCCCGCTCCTCGCGCGACGACAGCGACGCGGACTGGCGGGGGGATCGGAGGGAAGTGGCTGCTGCGGAACGCGGATGTGGCCGCGACCCGAGCGCGAGGAGCGGGCGGCTGGACGGGACCCAGCAACGGCAGGAGGAGCTGGCGGGCGAACGCCTCCCGGCAGCCGCCGGCGCGACGAGGTCCACACCCAGCCTTTCCCGCCGTCCCACCTGGCCGGACGCGGCCAATCGGCTTCCGAGGAGGGCAAGGCTCTGTCCAATGAGGGAAGACAGCCTCCACAGCCCCGCCTCCCACCGGCCAGAGGCTGTGTCCCGAGCGCGGGCGTCTAGCTGGAGGGAAGTTCCCGAGAGTGCGCTGAGCGCCATCCCCGCGGATCCTGCGCGTGCCCGTGCTCCGTGGGCAGCGTGTCTGCTTCTGTGAGTGATTCTTCTGGTCTAGGGTCGGGCGTGGAGTTCCTAGAGGGTGGCTGTCAAGGGACGGCAGCTGGGACCTCGGTTGGGAGCCAAGGAGGTCTGGGTGGTGGTGGGGCGTGGGGGGGAATACAGTTCCCCATAATGGGAACCGCCTTCCTGCTCCCCAGCTTCAAAAGCCAAGGGTGTTATTCCTGGCAAGGTTCTTAGAGAGAATCTCAGCAATTGTTCCAGCCAGTGTGCTGTGTGTCATTGGTGGTCGTCGCGGGGAGGGGAGTGCGGGGCTGGGGGGATATGTTAAAAGTGCAAATTCCATAACTGCACCCCAGACAAACTGAACTGTACTCATTGTGTGTGGAATCCGGTATCTCCTTTGTAACAAGGCCAGAGGGGGTAATTCACAGAAACGAGAAGTTTGATCTGAACCAGACTCCTTAAGTTACGCATGAAACGGAAATTCCCTAAGAGGGCTGTAGGGAGAGGGTTTGACGTTTGGGGTGGTTCTTTCCGGTCTTAGTTTCCTGCGTTGCTGCTCTGATCAGTTCTCAGCTGAACCCCAGAGAGAGCCCTCTTCATTTTCCCGGAGTTCTCTGTGTATAGGTTTTACCCTTCTGTGTGCTGCCATCTCTTGCCACCTTGATGCCTAGCTGCCTCAAGTTAGGAATTCCGTGCGGCTCTCCTTGCTGCGTCTCGCTGCAGCCTTGCCTGGAATCCCCCCTGGAATCCCTCGTGCAGTCAGCTGGAGTAATCATAGCGTGCGCTTCGTGTGATGTCCGGATCCTTGCAAATCATTGTTTCATATATTGTGCCCATTTTGCTTTGTTTTGTTTTCAGTCTGAAGGATAAATTCAGTCCCGGTTACTCCATTTGCCCAGAAATCCAAGGTAATAACTGTTTTAATGTTCTTGTACCCTAGTTCTCTATGTCACTTCTGGATCTGTTTCTATTCATTCATTTCTCTCCTCGCAATGGGTCGTGTTTGCCTTCTTTTTATACTTAATAGTTTTTGATTGGATATTAGCTTTCATGTTTTGGGTGCTGGACATTTTTATGTTCCTACCAATGTTGAGCTTAGTAGGAAAGTTTACTTGGAAACAGTTTAATCCTTGCAAGTCTTGCCTTTAAACGTTTATCAGGTGGAACCAGAGTAGCCTCTAGTCTAGTGCTGATTTGCTGATTTTGCCCCACAATGGAGGCAATACCTTTCTGAACACTCGAATATCATGAATGATCAAGTGTTCTAGTTTGACTTTTGGGAACAGAAACTGCCCTTAGCCCTGATGACTCAGAATCATTGCATCTTTTCCCTTTAGGTGGTTCTTCCCCCAGCTTCCAGTAGTTTCATCACACACGGGCACTGACCGATACTTGGCTGAAATTTCAAGGGGTATCCACTACAGATCTCCACTTCTTCCTCACTCCATGTAGCTACCACTCTCTTCTGTCTAGTACTTTGCCCTACAAACTCCAGTCACCTGCACCTCCCATACCTCTCAGCTTGTCTTCTCAACTCAGGGAGACGACCAGGCTCCGGTGTCTCCTCTCCTGCTGGCTGAAACATTCCCCAGGCAGTGCATTAGACATCGTAGGGCTTACCTCATTTATTTCCCTCTCTGAGGGATCAGAGATGACTCTACACTGCCTGATGTCCTGTGTTTGAAAGTTGTTATTTCATACATCTTGTCGGTTTTCTTTTTGTCATTTCAAGAGGAAGGATAAATCCAATACTTATTTGTCTCTCTTAGCCAGTAGCAGAAGTGAGTTATACTCTATTGCAACTCATCATGAATTCTATGAAGCCAGAAGAGAACAAGTCACTCAGTGCTCCAGAGAATGACCAGAGTACCAGAACTGAAGTTTCAAAGGTATGTCTGCTTTCTAACAACTCTTCACTGGAGCGGCACTCTGACCAAATCACTATATTAGGATAAGCTCATAAAGAATGGCAGTTGTAATCCCTTCTCTTCCATTGTTTAAAATATATTTGGAGAGAGCATATGTGTAAGTACATGTGCAAAATAAAATGATAATGTATGAGTTAACAATGCAAAAGGTGCATTGTTAGACTAGGTGACTAGCGGGCAGTATAGACATGGAATATATTGGAAATATAGACAGGAAAAAATAATAATAGTTTAATGTTTACTGTGTGCCTGGAATTACTCTTGTCACTTCCTGTGGATTTTCCCATTTCACATTTAATAAAACAATAGATATTGCTGTCATCTCTAATTTACAAATGAAGAAACTAAAACCCAGCTTCTTGAAGTTGCAAAAGTAGTGGATTTTAAAGCAAGGATTTGAATCTAGGCAATCAGACTTTGCAGCTAGTGTTTGAACAGCACTCTATTTTATTCAAAATATGCAAAATGGCAATCCTAAACTCAGAGTAAAAATAGACAAGTGCTTTTAGAGTGCAGAGAGAAGAATGCTTATTTCATACTACAGAAATTAAGGTAGTATCATATGAGAAAGATCTTAAAGAATGAATCATATTTCACAGGTAAGTGGGTCAAGCATTAAGAAAATGTGTGATTAAGTCATGTACACACGAAGATATACTTGGGGAACACTATTTAAGGAGACTTCAGGAATGTGGTAGGCAAATAATGCTGGGAAGATAGTTTGGTACAAGACCACAGTAGGCTTTATATCAAGAATTTTTTATTTTACCAGGGGGAAAAAAAACCCTCTTAATTGTGAAATAATAAAATGGATTCATTGGATTAAAATTACATGAAATTTAAGATTAATTTCCTCTATCATTAGCCACATTTCAAATGCTTGGTAGCCATATGTGATTAATAGCCATCATATTGGACAAAGCAGATGTCGAACATTTCCATCACTGCAGAAAATTTCATTGGACAGCACTGCTATAGATTAAGGAACTCTTTGGCTACTCAAAGTGTGGTCCACACACCAGCAGCATTGATCTTACCTGAGAGCTTGTTAGACCTGTGTGATCTGCATCTTAACAAGATACCCAGGTGATTCATATGCACCATTGTGAGAAACATTGTTCCTAAGGTACCCTTCCACTAGAATATTTTGTATTGTGAAATGCATCAGTGTTATCAGCATTATTTGCTAATATTTATTTACTTATATGGTATTGTTTCAGAAAGAGACACTTTTTCCCATGAGGAAAAAAAAAATGGATTCATTGGCTCATGCATCTGGAAAGTCCAGAGTTCAGTAGAGCTTTATTTCAGCAGCACACAGTTTTTTTCAAGGACTTGTTTATGTTTTTAGTTGCTACGCTCTGCTTTTCATGTTTACCATCTGGCTGGCTTTCTATGCAGTGACAGTGTAGCTTCAGTAACTTCAGAGTTCATATCTGCATTCTTCACTATTCAGATAATGACTCTGTCCTAGTATCCCAGGAAAACTTATCTTTGCCATCTAATTGTTCCAAGCTAAATAGCTCAACCATTCCTGCACAAAATCTATGGTTAAGGAGGCACTTAACAGCAATCAAAATCTATTCCTGAGCTGGTATAAATTCATTTCCAAACACATTTATGCCTACTAAAAAAAATGGATAAAACTGAAAAAGGCCTTGTCTCAGCAATAAAGCAAAATTAGCTTTATAGTATACAGGCAGAACATTACAGAAAACTATAAAACAATATCCCTAAACTTAGATGAAATGCAAAAACTCTACTGCTTCATGACTAAGTGAGGGAAATGCCCAGGATGCAAGATGGGTTTCACTTTTGAAAATGTATCAATGAAAAGTAAATTGGTGTAGTTACTATGAAAAATGGTATGGAAGTTCCTCAAAATGTTAAAAATAGAATAGCAATTTCACTGTTGGGTAAATATCTGAATTAAATGAAATCACCATTTCAAAGAAATATCTGCACCCCCATACTCATTGCAGCATTATTTATAATAGACAAGACACAGAAACAACCTGTGCCCACCACTGAATGAATGGAAAAATAAAATGTGTGTATCTCTGTGTGAGTGGGTGTGTATGTTTCAGTTGTTTCAGGCAGGATGTGAGTTAGGTCAGTGTTATTCCATCTTGGCCAGAGTAGAATTTCAGGGTATTGTTATTTATATTATTTCCAGGGGTTTTAGTTGTAATTAATGGGAATAATAAGTTATTCTGGGCTTAGTCCATCTTGGCTGCTACCTCCTTATTAATTAAAATATAGATATTTACATACAAGAATGTTAATTAAGGGCATCTTTAAAAATCCTACAGGAAACATGTTAAACATGAATCGTTAGAAGCATTTCCTTTAGAATCAGAGAGAACAGAGGAATGCTAACTATTACTGGCCCTATTTGGCTGGTGATTATATAATTTACATTACACTATATTGTTGATTCTAGCCAGTGTAGTAAGAAAAGAAAGATGAATAAAGATAGAATTAAGGATTGAAATGGAAGCAACAAAGCATATTCATGAAAACATTCACAGATTAATAGCATTGCCTTTTTTGAAAACCAAAATGATCTATAGACCAAATATTAGAAATGATTTTAATTTAGTAAGTTGGCTAGATTTAAGATTGATATTTACAATAAAATGCATTTATCTTGATCAATAATCGAAAAGCATAATTTCCCTCAAAATTATTTTATAATGCCTGGAAAAATAAGTTGCCTAGCAATAAATGCAAGAAATGATTTGTGAATCCTTTGTAGATAAAATTATAAACTTTTGTTGGAAGACATGAAAGAAAGCCTAAATAAATCAGTGTTGAGATATAAGATGTTTATGAGAAGAAAAACATTATTAAGATGTCAGCCCTTCTCAAATTCATTTATTGATACAATGCAATCCAAATTAAAAGTACTACCATTTATTTTTATACTACTTAACAATATGACTAAAATTATTGGAATAGCAGAGGGCCAATAGCTAGGACCTTTCTGAAGATAAAAAGTAAAGTGAGGGAATTTGTCTTATCAGATATGAATACTTATTATAAGATAGCAGTAATTAAGACAATATTTGGCACAGATATAGAAAAATATACCACTGAACAGAACAGAGAGTATAGACAAACTCATAAAATACATGAAGATACCTTTGTATTAGTTTGGTAGGGCAACTGTAGCAGAAGACCACAAACTGGATTGCTTAAACAACAGAAATGTATTATCTCAGAGTTCTGGAGGTTCAAAGTCCAAGTTCAAGGTGGCAGTAGGGCTAAGGTCTTCTGAGGTTTGGAAAGGAAGGATCTGTCCAAGACCTCTCTCCTTGATTTGTAGATGGTCATCTTTTTCCTGTGTCCCTTCACAATGTCTTCTTTTATGTATGTCCCTTCTATAAAGACATCAGTCATATGAGGTTAAGGGCCCACCCTACTCCAGTATGACCTCATCTTAATTAGTTACATTTACCACCACCCTATTTCCAGATAAAGGTCAGGTTCTGGGGATTAGTGCTGTAACATACGAATTTTGGGGTGACCCAGTTCAGTCCATAATCTTATGTGGCAAAACTGGCAGCACAGATCAGTGTAGAGAGGATGAACAATTCAATGAATAGTAGTGGGACAATTAGTCATCCCTTTAGGAAAAATAAAAAGTGAAAACTCCCTCAGGCCATATGTAAAAAATAATTTCAGATGAAAGACTTGAAGGGGAAAGCACCTTTACAATTTCTATGGGGAAAAAAACTAGATTATTTGTAGTCTACGAAAGGTAATCTTATGACATTAAAAAGTCAATAAATTTGACATTAAAATTAAGAACTTCTGTTCTTGAATAACAACTAATAGAATGAAAAAGAACCAAGCCTCAATCTATGAGAATGTATGTTTGACACATTTGTGTCTAGAATACATAAAGTACTTTCATAATAAAAAGAAAAATAATCCAAATCAAAACAGGCAAAAGACATGAATAGGCATAAACATAAACATGAATTCAACCCTATTAGTAATTAAACTACAATAAGATGCTATTTTCTAACCACAAGATTGGTAAGCATTAAAAATTGAGCAATGCCAGGTTTTGATGAGGATGTAGAAGTAATGAGAACACTTATTTCCCACTCCTGGTATAACCATTTTGTAAACAATTTGGCAATAGTTCATAAAGGTAAGTATGCATATATCCCAAAGTTGAGCATTTCCACTCCTGAGTCTATACCTGAGAGACTCTCTTGCACATATGCACCAGGAAACATATTCAAGGGTATTCACAGCAGAACTGTACCACTGTTTTAGTAGAAAACTGGAAACAACTGAAATGTGCATAAACAGTTAATTTCTTCAAATAATTCTGTTTAACTGTGAAAGTGAATATAGAACTCCATCATCTAGAATGAACCTCAAAAACGTAGTGAAACGAATCACAGAACACATTCCATAGGATGCATTTATATAAAATCAAATCAAGGAAAAATAAACAGTATGCTTATGTTTTTACTATACATGTGTATATCCCTAAAAAAATGTAAAGTAACAATAATTCTAAAATAAATTCAGGATTAGTGGTTGTCTATGAGAATGAGAAAGGGAGATAAGATAAAGGAAGGGTATACTGAAGCTTCTAATGAATGTAATATGCTTATTCTTAAGCTGGGTGATAGCATACATGTTTATTATTATTCAAAATATAGGATATGTCAATATACTGCTTTTGCATGTATGTGTTTTGTAGTTTTAAGAAATGATATCGAAGATAAAAAAGAGGAAGAAACAAGATGATTTGCAGGCTGCTAGCTTAGGTGGTTAAGTGGGTAATGCCACCATTTAAATAGACTTAGAAAAAACAAGAAGGGAAAGACTTGGAGTAAGTTTTATGCTTTTGGTTTTGAAAATGTTGAAGGTGAAATGCCTCTGATGTATTCAGGAGTAGATATCAAACAGGCCACAAAATATTAATATCTGGAGCTCAAATGTCCTTGCCTATGCAGATTTGGACAATAAGTAGTAGGTGAAAACATGAAGGAACAGGAAAGCACCATGAGAAGAAGATACTCACCATGCCTAAAATCTGACTCATTCCATTGTACCTGCCCCTTAAATAAAGCAAACCCTGCTATCCCTGCTGACTTTACTCTCACCAGCTTTGTTCTCCTATTCATATAGACCAGGTCTGGGATTTCAGATTCCATAAATAATTCCCATCCAAGTTCTGTTGACTCCTATAGTGTAATATTTTCTATTTATGTCCTTGTTTTCATCAGATAGTTCCTGTTGCCATCATTCCTGTTGCCATCAGATAATTGAAAAATTTTCCTAGGCTTTTGACAACTGATTGTATATATCTGTTTGAATAGGTGTATTTATTTATATATAAATGTATATATTTATTTGTATTTCTCTACAATCCTATAATTTATCAATCATTTCAGTATACAGTATATTTCCTTAGTGCTGTTGAAACCGGGTAGAGAATTGAACCCAAACAGGTATTTAATTGGAATTTTTGAAAAGTGATGTTTCAAATGTCCAAAAAAAAGTCCAGCTTTACTAGCACCTAAATAAATGCACATTTTAAAAGCAGTCAAATTAGATGACATTTCATCTATCAGTTAGCAGACATTTAAAATAATAGTATTGAAAACCTTTTGCAGAGCCACCCATATGGCTAATTTTCTTGGGCAGCAGGGTGAGTTGATGCAACTTTCCTGGAAAGCAGTTTGGCAGTATATATGCTGTAATGCACATTTATAAACTTAATTTCAGTATTTCTACTTCGGGGAATCTGGCCTGAGGAAATACTCATATGTGCGACAAAATATTTCATGTATAGAAATGTTTGTTAGTGTAGTAAAAAACAGGACACAATCTAAATATTCAGCAGTGGAAGAATGGATTAGAAATGATCATACTATGAAATATAATAAAGCTCCTCAAAATGTTTTCAAAGCTTAATGACACATAAAAGCACTCAGATTGTTTAGTGAAAAATAAATTCATAAGCAACATAGTATAGTTTAAGACTGTAAGATTTATATCTGCATGTAAGATAACAGAAACAAAACAAAATGTAGAAATGCTATCTCTTGTGATCAAATGATTGATATTTTTCCCCATTACTCATTATCCATTAAATTACCCAGTTTTTACCCAGAATATCTTTTATTTTTGTAATTAGGAAAACATGTAACACTGTTATTAAAGGTGGTCCTTACTAAATTTTTTAATCTTTCCTTTTTTAAGGATACTGTCACGAAGAGGACATGTTCCGGCACACCTGTTAATCATTCTCAATCTGATGTAAGAGAATGTAGCAGCACTGTTGCACTTAGAAGTGAAGTCATTAAGCATGAGGCATCCCTTGAAATTCCGAACCCAAATTTGAGCACCAATGAAATATATGATTTTACCTTTAGTTTTCATGGAAGGTTCAAGAAGACAGACCATAGTAAGTTTACAGCATATGGTAAACTCAATGACAGTATCTACTCAGCTCTGAAAGCTAATGACAGTTTCAATGAAAAGGTGAAGAAGCATCTTAATAAGAGCATTATTGTTTTTGAAAAAGAAAAAATAAAAGGATATATAAATTTAGGAATGCCTCTCAAGTGCCTACCCACAGAGTCCCATTTTAAAATAACATTTGGTTGTAATCGGGAAGGTGGTCAGATATTACGCCAATATGAGAATCTAAACGTCAAATGCATTCTTTTCCACATTGTTGCTCTTGGGAAGAACACAAAGACGATTCTCAAGATCAAGGAACTTCATGAAAAAGGAGCTACACTTTGTATCTATGCCTTGAAGGGTGAGACTATCAGAGAAGCTCTTATTAAGGATGGCCGATTCCGGTCTGATCTAGATGAATTGGAATGGAAACTAGTGGAACAGCATAAGAATATTTACGAAAAACAGACCATAGTGGATGTAGTATCTGGAAAACTGTTAGAAGTGGACATTCCCCTCAAGAAAGTCAAGAAAGGTACCCATAAAGAAATTAAACAGGAGAATGAAAATACCACTGATGAAATCAGTCCCCAGGATCTGTTAGAGTCTCAGGTGGAGGTCCACAAACAAGAAGAAGATGGGGAGGCTGAAGGTGTCGAAGACAACAGAGAAGAAACTCTCCCATCTCAAAGTCTAGGGCATGATATTGAAGGTAAAAGACAAAGGACAAAATCCAAACTTAGGCAGTATTATAATAGTTTGAACAGACATTATAGGGGAAAAAACAGACGAGTTAGGCAAAGGCTCCATCTGGGCATGCCATATCCTGTTAAACGAGCTATCCAGAAGCAGGCGACTGATCTCTGGCTAAAGAATTTCCAAATATTGGATGAAGCTATAATGCCTCAATATCCAAATTTTAAAAAAGACGCACTATGGTTAAAAAATTATTTTCAGGAACAACAGAAGAGAAAAAAACTACCACCATATAAACAATTCAACATATATAAAAAATACTTAGGGAAAGTGACTGAAAATTCGACTTCAGTTGCAACCTGTGAACATCTTGTTGAACTTAGTAAGTCAGTTGGATTCATGGCATGGGACAATAATGGAAACACAGGCACTGCAACTTGCTTTGTCTTCAGGGATAATTATATCTTCACCTGTCGACATGTTGTACATCTTTTGGTGGGAAATGACACAGATCCAAGTTGCTGGCCAAATATAATAAGCAAATGTGCAAAGGTAACTTTTTCCTACAAAGAATTCTGCCCAGTTGGTGTTGACTGGTTTTCCTTTGAGCCGTGGCTTGAAGTGTCTGATGAAACTCTAGATTATGCCATATTAAAGTTAAGAGAAAATGGAAACGGATTTCCTGCAGGCCTATTTGGACAAATGTCCTCTCCACCATCTAATGGGTTGATTTATTTAATTGGTCACCCAGAAAGCCAGGTCAAAAAAATAGATGGTTGTGCTGTCATTCCTCTAAATCAACGTTTAGGGAGGTACTCAGAGCTTCTCCAAAATGAGGTGGCAGGACCTCATGCTGCCACCTATAATACTTGCCCTATGTTTACCCAAAGAAGTTTCCTATCAGAGGCTTGGTGCACAGACACAGTTAGTTATGATACTTATTTTTCTAGTGGGTCCTCTGGCTCCCCAGTGTTTGATGCATCTGGCAAATTGGTTGCTGTGCATACCTTCGGGCATTTTTATAAACGTGCAGGTATAGTTCATGCCCTTATTGAATTTGGTTGTTCTATGGATGCAATTCTTTCTGATATTGAACAAAAAAAGGAGATCTTGTACAATTTATTAACTGAAAAGAAAAATGAGAACCACAATGAAGACAGAAATAAACAGTTGTCACTTAAAGATCATTGGATTGAACCCATGGAACATTAGAAAAAAGAAGCTGCCTTCAAGAAAATATGCCAATAACATAGAGTATTTGGGGCTGTTTCCTTTAATTATAATGAATATTCCTTCTTAATTAGAAAACTTAGAGAATCATGTGGATGTGTAAAACACCTATTAGAGCTCAAATAAAGGTATTTTTTTCTCATTGGCTTTTTGCTCATTTTTGAAACAATCTCAAGCCTCACTTAAAATACTTAGCTCACTTATACACATAGGTACATCATCCCATCTTTCTAACAGGTAAAGTGACTCTTGTTCTCTGCATAACAAAATAATGTGGAAATACACTTTTAGATATATTATTCCTCTAAAACTCAAAATTCTTTGGTAATCTTCATTTTTTACCTTTGATGCCACCTGTGGACATCAGCCTGTATTGCAAATGCCAGTAGGAAATCCCAGATGTTGAATTCTTTCCTCTTAATTCTGCCCTTCTCTGGTAGATACGAGAAGTGACTTGCTTAGTCTCCAACCCCACCCTCTCATGTTCAGAGTCTAGAATGTTAAAAGCTAATATCTCAGTCTAATGTATTTAGGGTTCTTGATGTAAATGATCCATCTAAATAGATGCATGCATTTGGAATGGAGGACATCTTTTCTGCTCCATCTTCTGACAAACAAATCATAGAAAAGTGAGTGTGCAGACATACTATTGGCCACTTTTGGTGTT